ATACTTAAGTGCTGTTTGTTTATTTGATTCTTCATTTATTTTTTCAAATTTTCTGAGTTTACGAGCTGTATTTGTGAGTTCCCAAATACTTAAAATATAATGCTGTAAAATCTGATTATAACATGGCCCATTACGGCATTTGCCTCTTTTTACTGATTCTATGTTAATGCCTTGCCCCCAGTCCATATTAATGCTTAAGTTGCTAACAGACAGACGGTGAATTTTGATGAATTAGGAATTCTGAAAAATAAATGTATTTTAAATTTCCTTCCATTTTTCTATCACTCTTTTAAATAAAAAGGTATCCTCCTGGCAGGATAGGCTGTGACACTTGAATATCTATACAGGGTTAAATCACCTTAATAAGATTTGACATGTTTCCTGAATATTAACTTCTAGTTAGAAACATATTAGAATATAGGGTGGGGGAAAAACCTGAGAAGTCATCTATCCCAAGCCCTACGCCACAGCCACCATTTTAAAGATGAGGAAACTGAGACCCACAGCAGTGGAGAGGAGCTAAAGGAGTGGCCAAGGTCACAGCGAGTGAAGTCCAGACCTCGGGCCTCCTGTCCTGATCCTCAGCTCACTCTCCCTCACTGCACGGCACTTGTCTCTGCCCCACCACCACGTAGGTTAGGGGCCTGTCCACACTGGGTGGAGAATAGAAAGGTCAAAAGATGACCTCCTCAAGCCTATTGTTATTAAATTATTAATTCTCTTTGTTTAAAAAAGTCCTAACAATCATACTATGTGATTCTTTTCACTAAAAAATCTCACGAAGGATTTCAGAAAGGAGAAGTGTCAGGAAAGCGAGTGGAGCCTCTTGGAGGGTCCCGGGCAGCGATGGCAGGCTCACTTGCTGTCCGCGTCCTTTTCTCCATTGTACCACCAGTCCATGATCACGGAGTCGGAATAAAGGGTTTGCACCTTCTCCAGGTCACTGTACCCCTGCTCCATTTCCTTAACTAAAAGAGTCAGATCTTCATTCTGCCAAAATGAGAGGTGAATACATTATGAGATTGTATAAAAGAGTTTGAATTTCAAACATTTCTTACAGAAAGCCAACCGTATCAGGAAAAAAAGAATCTAAAGAATTTCACGTGGTTCTTATATTTTTTATTTTT